AAATAAGCAAATCCTTTTTAATATCCAACATAAAATAAACCACTGTCAGCCACAAGCTCAATACAGTGTTTTCGAAGAATTTATACAATATCACAAAACTAAATATTGCGATCAATTGAGTGTATACATTTTTTCTTATACCCCTACTTGCCATGATATTGTGTGCAGATTCTCATTTTGTAAGTGGCCAAGTAAATGCAGGAGTCTATATACATGTTAATAGAATAAAATATACAAGAACAGAATGCGAAATTAAATATTGTACAGTAAAACTCAAATTAAATTCTCTTTATTGTAGTGATAACTATCTAGATAAATAAATTGTAAGATGCAATGAGATGAATGCTTTAGTTTATGGATGCACTTAACAGAGCTCAGGAATTAAACAGACGATTGTACCTTACTCCACACCAAGTGGAGTATTACTTTGCTGATTAGGATTTCACATGATGATCTTAAAAATGTATGCATTGTTATACCTTACATCTTAACAGCATTAACACGTTTGTAATATTAGTCCCATCCTGACCAGCCGCACCTTTAAGATCCTATTTTGCTCTATAATATAGTACAGTTTTTCAGTATTTTTCAGTACCAGCAACAGTAGTGGAGGAATATTAAGATCATTAATGTAAAGTAATACCACAGTGTAACATTACTCACCAGGGTTAAAAGTAATTTAGCAGAATGTTTTCATTATCTTATATAATTGTAAAGGTGTGGCTTATTTTATTAATTTATACACTGCTGGGTAGATTACATTATAAGACATCATCATTGATAAGCTGATTACATTGTTGCACCTGAAAGTACCTAGTGACTAGTACATAGTACTATAGTTAATGCACTCACCAATGATAATAAAATGACACTCTGAGGGGCCATTTTTCTACACTTTTGACTATTGAAGTTGCTGATAACATTTCTTTATTATTGTTTATTTTTTAATGCACACCTTTTACATGTTCTGGAGTATTTTAACATTGTCTTACTTCTAAAAAAAATTAAGGAAACACTTCCTCTACCAACATGCCATTCCACAGTAAGATGTGAGTAAACAGTTATTTACACACAGCAAACACCAGGTGGCAGTCTAACTTACTCCATGTGTGCTGCAGTGCGGTCTTGGTTAAACTCAGGGATGTGGCTTTCTCTATAACAGCTGTAATCATGTTAGTATTTCATAGAAAGTAATTCTTTGTTTCAGCACGTTATATGTTGTTCTCAGTTTGATTTAAGCTGCTGTGAAGCCATATTATGTAAACGTTACCCTTACCATTGCAAATGTGTAAGAAACCAATGTATTGCTGGTTTGAGAATGTCTTTCATTTACAATGAACTCAAATTAACCACATCATGTATAATATAATGCTAAACAAGGTCAGGAAATTAGACTGTAATCATATTTTAATGCTATTTTCTGTAACACAGCACTTTGCTGAGGAGGAAACGAAAGCTGTGATAACATCTACAGTAAAAGCTTGAAAATGCATGCATTGCTAGATATAGATCTTTGTTGTGTTGGCTGGTAGCAGGTAAAGCTGGTCCCCCGCTGATCACACTCTCGTGGTAATTCGGGGGGGTTGTCAGAATACGGTGTGTTACATCCCTGGGGAGCAATAACACTTGTGTGAATAATTTATCTTTCTCATCTGCATTCGGGCTTTTCACTGAGCTCTGGGTGACTGGTCCCACTTTTGCTACAGCTTGTATTATTTGAGATGGGTGGAGAAGGTGAGAGGTCAGGGTTAGAGGGTCCTTGTGTCGCAGAGGTCGTGGAGAAAAGGAGGACACCCCCTTGTATAGCACATGGGGACAATTCCCCACCCAGTGCCCCAAAACATCCAAATTCCTGCACTGCATTGTGTCCCATATTCTTCAGGCGTACGAGTGGGTGTTGCAGACTACATGAGGACTCTGCTGAGGTAGATCCCGACCCCCCGCACCCCTCTTTACCATCCTCACACATATGCTACTATAGCAATAAAGGACAATGGCGGGTACTTGAAGTTAAGATGGGAGATGACTTGGGGAGCAGGCTATTGTTGGTGTTAAGCATTGTCACCCCAACAATGTCCCTGCTGAGGAAAAGGTCTCCAAGTTTTAATGACGGAACAGAAGAGAGGAGATGGAGGAGGAGGAGGGCCTCATCTGAATTTTATAGCACCAAAGTTCTTTCTTTCCTCTCTTTGGCAGGGATGAAATACTCCCAACATAGCAGATTGAGGGTTCCTCCGCTGTGTAATTATGGGATGTGAAGTTACAGGATCCACAGGCTATGATCATTGCTCTGCGAGTCAAATAACTCCCAAATCACATTGGGGTGACTTAAAGTCTATCTCTCTTTCTGAATGTCGTAAAGCCTCCTAAAACTGATACTTCAAATGTATCTGAACTCTGAAGCCAACAGGGAAAAGTATGCCTGAAAGAGTTCAGTCAAATTAAAATGTGCACACAATATGGTGGCAAGTAGGGGTGCAAGAGAAAATTGATCACTTGAGTGATTGCGATATTTTGTTTTTTTCATATTGTATCAATTCTTTGAAAACACTGTATCGATTTTTACCTATAGTTTACATGCAAAGTTTTGTGGCTGACTAATGGTTAATAAGTACTGGCACATTTTATGTTGGATATTAAAAAGGACTTTGTTTAATGCAAACAGCCTACACTTGTCTGATTGCACACAAACAATATACCAATGCCAATGCAGAGATTTGGTTTGCAAGTAAACACGCCATTTTTCACATTATTGCAAACTACCAAATCCCCTCCTGCTGGTGCAGTGGGATTGGCTGCTGTGGAATAGATTTATAGTTTAATAGTTGTTTAAAACAATTATAATTTTTTGGGGTTCAGCTTTGGGCAAGATATCAAGATGCTCTAGGTCAAGCATTATTTGTGACTGAACTCTGCATCTGGCGTGATATTGATTGATTGTACGTTTGGCTCGTTTTAACCACACAACACACTTTGAGCGGTCACACAATCAGGGGAGTGGGCTCAGGCCGGTCGCTGACAACAGATGCACATCACTAATCAGTGCCATTAACTTGGCCTGAATATAACCAGAGATCCTGGGGGGTGGGGTGGGGTTCTTGTCCACCCAAGATGCTTAAACAAGGAGATGACGTGCATGCTAGGGACCAAATGGATCAATATGTTAGACGGGAGGCCATGGGTGGTGTATGATTTTGACCTGTTGGTGTCTGGTCATGAGACGTTGGTGAACTTTGACCTTTTTTGCTCGCCAGTGAGGATAAAACATTTGTTCACGCCAAACAATATAGACAACTCATGTGTCATACTTAATCATTGGCATGTTCAATATGTTTATATCATGGTTAAAATAATTAAAGGTCTCAGGTCGTTGAGTGCAACTGGGTTTTACAAGGATGGTCTTTTCTTTCTCTGCCAGAGCTGTTACTCTGGCCTGTAAACATGGAATTTAAGACCCAATATAGTAGTGTTTGTTTAAGACATTAACTTGTTTGCTTTCTCTCACTGTAAAGAAGATTACTCACTTCAGCACCACCTGCAGACAGCTGAATCTCAACTGTCCGTGCGCTCGTTGTGCTCCTTTGTGTTCAAATGCAAGCCGTTCAAAGATGCGCTCCACCCTTCACTATGGAAATGTTTCGGCTTGGAATCCAATACGCTTGTTTCAAGACACTGTGGAAAGTAAGGACATTGAATTCCTACCTTTTGTCATACAAAGTAAAAGACCTGATAGTAAGTCAACAACCTTCCCACACCAATACAACTTTAAAAAAACAGCCCTTCAGCGGTTTTGCTTTTGAGAGGGAGATTGTGAGGTGAGACTTATAAGATCTGCTGATTTTAACAGGATTAAAGAAAAGAGGATCATCTTAAAACTAGTGTTTGGCAAGGTTAAGACAAATAAGCTTTGATTTAACTCAGGATCATTTGAACAGACGCGTCTAGAAATGCAAACCCATCATGAAGACGTCAGATTAAACACGACTATCGAGTCAAAGACCAAATGTGGATACTATGTGGACTATCACGACTGTATTATGGTATACTATAGAGAAACATTTATTCAATGTTGTTTGTTTATTTTGTTGGGATGCAGTGGTGATAGGTGGATCAATAACTTGAGTAAAAGCAACAATACATCAATGTAAAAATACTCAAGTAAAAGTCCTGCATTTAAAGTGTACTTACAGGTAAAAATAAGCATTAAACAGGAAGATACGCCCTGTGGATATTTATTAGTAAAGAATATTAGGATAGATGATTATGTTTTCAATAAATTAATTGTTTGATTTATAAAATGAAGTGAATAATGCTGTTAAGAATCCCTTAAAGCCTCATTGAACAAACACAATATTCTGCTCACCATCACATAAGACAAAGGCAAACCTTAAAGTCTTTGCAGTGGGGAAGCTTAAACACATTTGTAGTTTTGCTTTGTGATTGTAGATTAAAACAAATTTGGCAGTCGACTATTCAATAGGTTGAATAATTTGCTTCAGCTCCATATAATATATTGCATCATGACAAATGTATGTGACAGAGCTCTTCCCCTGCTGTTGAAGGTCCACTGAAAGTTACTTTATATAACGATGAGTAATTACATCTATGGAAATGCTTCAAATCTAATTTAAAGTTGATATCAAGTTGATGCTTGAACGCATTTTCCTGATATGAAAATTGATTATCAACTAGAGCTGCTAAACTAAATATAGAGAAGCCTACAATATTCCAATGTGAATGTAGAGAGATATGTAATGGACGCTACAACGAATGGAAAGAAATCTCCAAGCTGTATACAAAATTATCCAAAAATCATGTTTCTCCTATTATTACTAAGAGCAGCAAATATTGATGATATAATGTGTCAGTTATTTATTGTGACCATAATTGGTGGTGTAGACGGGGCGGGGCCGCGCGCCTCCCCCGCCTCTGATGCAAATGATGGGGCTTACCCGGATCTACCGCTGCAGATATTTCCGAGGCTCCTCCCTGCTCTTTTTATCGCCTTATAACAGGATATCTCACTGGCGCGAAAAACGCACTGTGTGGCTTTCTGTAACACGTTGTGGGGCAGACCTTGTGCCTGCAGTTTCAGTCGGCTTTTATACCTTTAACTTAAACAAAAGTGCACATTGCGTCGAAAAAAGCGCGTCTGTGTATCCAGCAACAACTCGGCCGTCTGATCCCGGTGAACTCGCTGCTCTTTGCCTGCCGGGGGATTTCCTATGCCCTGGATATCGCTGTGGGATTGTACGGAGAGCCGGTGAGTAGTTTAAATACGCTGTCTGCCATTTAAAGTTTTCCAATAAAGAACTAAGAGCTGTGTGTGAGGGTAAACCCACGATGTGACCGAGGAGCAGTCACTTTTTTTTCCTCTTCGCCGGTTCACATGAGTGCTCTGAGGAACAAAGCGCTGCCTACATTTCAGGAAATGCAGCCCTGCATGTTACTTTTACTGCAGGATGGTCCTGTAGTTCTCTTCTGTACCTTTTAAAACGTCATAGTTGACGCCTGTATAAATATAACTACATTATGTAATAACCTTGTGGACAGTTTGAGTCCATCCCTGTAAAGAGAGCATCCGCAAGATGCAATCAATTATTAATGCGGTCCCATTTGCAGAAAGTGGGCTGTGATATCCTAATGGCCCATTCGATGGATACTTGAAATGTGATACATCTGATGGAAATTACTTTAATAGATCATTTGCTCATCATGCTGATGTTTCCCCCCAGGTTGTAAAGGACGTTTCCAGAGACCACTGCTGTGATTCGATCATTTCTGGGAATAAACTCTAGAGGATTTTATTAACTGGGAATATGGAGTTCGACTGCTACCAGCACTATTTCATTGACGATTTCGACAGAGAGGAGGATTTTTACAAGTCGACCGCACCGAGTGAGGACATATGGAAAAAGTTCGAGCTGCTGCCCACCCCTCCCATGTCTCCCACCCGGACTTTGAGCGGCGGTGCGCTGCACCTCTCGCCGGGAGACAAGCTCAGCTGGCTGTCCAAAGTCCTGGGTCAGGACCAGGAGTGCGAGGGTCAGTTCATCCCGGACACGGAGGAGCTGTTCGGCAACCTCAGCTCCATCATCATCCAGGACTGCATGTGGAGTGGTTTCTCTGCCAGTAAGCAGCTGGAGAAGGTCAACGGGAGAGTGTCAGCTGCGGCACAGACCTGCGTGTCCCCGTTGGCCCAGATCTCCGTGAGACCGAGCAAGGCGCAGTGCGTCTCACCCGCTGTCCCGCATGTCGCCTCGGCCACAGACTGCGTCGACCCCACAGCTGTTTTCACCTTGCCGGCAAGCAGCTGCAGGAAGCCGGCGTCGTCTGGCTCCGAGTCTCGCTCTGAGTCCTCTGGTAAGGAAGCAATCATTATTGCCCCACCCTGCCCCTTTCTATTGCCCTCTAACAATGCGTAATTTGGAAAGCTGGGCTGCTGTGCATTACTGTGGTGCAGAGGGGTTATCAAGTTCAGTCACGTTAGAGCTGCATTTTACTCTCACTTTGACAATGCGGCACATGCTTGCTACCCATGCAGTCTTTTAAAAAAACCGCGCCCTCGTCACGTTTTACTTACATTTCCCCTTTCGATATCTTCCAGTAGCACTGCATTACAATCAGAGTGCGGTAGAGGGGCGGGGTGGCCGAGTCCTGGTGATTTATTACTACTACACACACTCACAGCGACAGACCATGAGAGTAACTCTTTCACATTTCCTGAATTAGGGAGTGCCCCCTGCCAGCAGATCTCCTCCTTTAAATTGTTGATGTAAGCTCAGTTCTCAAAGACAAAAGCCTGAATTCCTGCAGGCTTTGCCATGGATGACCACTGCTGTTAACACCCCAGCCCTGCTCTGCCTCATATGGAGGGCTAGTGGCGTGCATGCTCGGCTGTGGAATGCACTTCCTTGTAGCCAGTTTAGTTACAGTTTGACTCTTAAAGGAATGTGAAGTCTTTTTTTTGTAAACGTTGGTGTATTGATGAGTTGTTCATTTGTGATCACAGATGATGAAGAGGAAATCGATGTGGTTACTGTGGAGAGCAAGCAGAACCGGGTGCGGCCGGCGAATGTCAGAAAGTCGGTGACCGTCACAGTCCGAGCTGATCCCTGCCCTAAACGCTTCCACATGTCTGTCCACCGGCAGCAGCACAATTACGCCGCCCGCTCCCCAGACAGCGAGCCCGATGATGATGATGATGACGAGGATGATGACGAGGATGAAGACGAGGATGATGAGGAGGAGGAGGAGGATGAGGAGGAAGAGCCTCAAAGCAAGCGTACCTGCACATCATCCAGTCAGTGGACCAACTCCTCGGCTAGTGTCTCCCAGCCGGGCTCCCCCTCTGAGAGTCCCCAAAACTCTGACCTAGAGGACACTGACCGCAGGCGGAATCACAACTTCCTTGAGAGGAAGAGGAGGAACGATCTCCGGTCCCGCTTTCTCGCTCTACGGGATCAGATCCCTGGCTTGGAGTCGGCCAAGACTCCAAAAGTGGCGATCCTGACCCAGGCGACGGAGTTCCTGGCAGACCTGCACACCCGGGAGAAACGGCAGCTCCAGGAGAAGAAACGCCTCAAAACTCGACAACAGCAGCTTCTCCGCCGAGTAGCTGAACTGAAGCGTTCTTGAGACGCATACTTTTAATATAAACTCATTCTTCAGTCAGGAGCATGACTCTCCAGTTACCTGTCACTTTTGGAAAGCTTTTCCATAACAACATGCCTCATGTAAATAGCTGTGAATTTTTTTTTTGATATAGCTTTGGGCTTCTTGAAATGACTGTGCTAGCCAATGAACCTGATACGGGGAGGAGCAGCAGTTAGTTTGCTGTGTTTGATTTTTTTTGTTTTGAAAGTATTTTAGTTATGAAAAGTTTTTCTAGCTAACATATTTCCTGGTATGCTGTGATGGGGAAATAAGAACTTAATAGTTTATCAGTGTATATCTGCAGCCTTCAGGCTGTGTGATTTCGTGTGTCACACTTTTAATTGAATGAAGTGTGAAGGACTTTCTGTGTACATAACAAGTGAATGACTTCCTGGTTTGTTTGAAGTGAATGATGACTGAGTGTTTGATGTACAAATTGTTGTGTAAATAATAGCTTATTGCTCCTGTTGAGGGAGACAAAATCAAGAGTTGTCAACAACCTTTGCTCCTCTTTATGACGTGCCACCAGGCATTGAGGAACCTCTATTTTGTTAAGAAAATAGGAAAAAAAAAAGAAAGAAAGTAGCACTGCTGTACTTTATAATCACTTGTCACTTTGTGATTTCAATGCTTCTCCTGATTTCTGTTGACTTTTAAGCATGCTAACATCGACATTAAATTTTTATACCATATTTGCATACACAACTGAAGTCCTTGTTTTTTTATTTAAGACAACAAAACACTGTTAAAAAACTGTATTCCTGTGCAAAATGAATATTGACATTTTTACCTTGCTTTTAAATTATTTCCAGGCTCCGATTATAACCCTCTTTTACTTTACAACTTAAAAAAGCGTGCATTTAAGTGAAACTTAAATTTTTAAATGTCTGAGGCGGAAGTAACAGATTTATCATGCCTCACACAAGTCTGGGTAAGATTCACCACATGCTTCTTCTCCAAAACATACTCTAACTATCGAACTTACTATGGCACTCTAATCGACTAAATGAGGGCAGATCCTAAAAAAAACATTGTTTTCCTCATCTCGCTGTCACTTTGTTAAGTATGTTGTATAAATGTCTGCACCTCGGTGCACCAGCTGCTGGTCTGCAGAAGGTTACACCAAGCATGTCCTTGAGACTTGCCCTTGAAGAGTGTGTGATACTGTTGTGGAACCTCCCCTCTGCAGTGGCTGCTGCTTGCTGGGCACCTGATGTGCTCTGAACTAGGACACACACACACACACACACACACACACACACACACACACACAGAGAGACCTGTACAATGGGTATCTTTAGAACAGTCCCCAGTGGTTTAGAGACGTGGACTTGGATCCAGTGCAGCTTTTGGCACAGGTGTGCATCTGGAGAGCAGCACTGCTTCATGTGAGTGGCTGTAAAATATAATGTTGAAGAAGTGAATACTGCTCTTTAACTGCTATGCTATTGGATGGCACTACCTTGTTTCATACGTTATGTGACATGCCTTTTAGTACCCTTTGTTGTAGAGCTTTTTTGGTCTATGTAATTGGTGGGTGTTGCGAGTCTGTCAGACTCCTTATGTGTGAGTGAAGTAGATCAAATATCTCTAAATATCAATTATATTTTAGTTTTTCATCTTTGATAAATGAACAGTTGTGTTTAGCAGCAGATGCTCAGTTCAGTAACCTGACACACTTTTCAGTTCAGAGTTCCTGTAGGATGTATAACCCTGTGGTAGCTAAGGTCATTACACTGCAGTCATAATAAGCAGATGGTGAAAAGAGTGAAGAATGGTGAGTAACTTCACACTGGATTGAAGTGACTAATACTTCATTTGAGTTAATATTTTATCATAGTGCCTTATATTATGGAAATATAATTACCATTTTAAGCAAGGTAATGGGCTGCTTTGTGATGTTAATTATGTTTAAGCCTAGGCTAGCCAACGTGTAGTTACTTCTTTCATAAATAATTCCGTATATAAGTAATTAAATGATTGCCATGCTGCTGCTCCATCAATGACCTTCCAGGCGAGTCTCTGCAAGCCTGAATGACTCAGGTTTGACTGCCATTCATTTATTTAATAAAACTCAAAGCAACCATATTGTTCAAGTACAGCCTGACAGACGAGCCAGGCACACCCTGAACTCCAACCGTCTCACACCTCGCTGGCCTTTGTGAGTGCTGGGATAGCTCGGTGTTCCACCTGCCTGTGTTCACTCATTCGCTCCCGTTTTCAGCCCTGAGGGCACTTTTTTATGGCACTGTAATATGTATTTCCATTGCAAAATCAGCATCTGGTGTCAGGCAGCTTAGTTAAACGACCCCATCTACACAACATCGTTGATTGAAACTATCTGAAACAATGTTGACATATACATTTCTAATATTTTGCAAAGTTTTGTAGAGCTTTGCAGTCCTATTTTCTTGGTGAACTGAACTCAACCAGCAAATCAGGTAATGCAAACCTGAGGGAACTTGTGATAAAGTCTGGTTGCAGCAAACCGCAATGACTCCTTAGATTATCATCAGCTGCTCTTCTGGTTGTCCTTTACATCAGGAAGTGACAACAACAATCAGACACCAGGTCTTAGACATGATAAGAGTAACTACTCTGATACCTTTCCTGTTTCCTTCTGGCCATGAAAGTCATCCAGAGTGATGCAACACAAGAGTAGGAAATCAATAATTAACCTAAACATAAAAGTTCAAAGACTTTCTACAAGTGCTGTTAACACATTTCCGTTTCATTAATGGACAGTGCAACTATCCTACATACAAAGTCCGCAGTTTGTTTTTGGAGCAAATGACAATATTGCAAAATGTTCGAGTGAAGCCACATTTTTAAAGATACATTGTCTCGACCCTTGGACTGTAGTTGTTCAAGAGTAAACACTACAAGTTCTCAACAGCAGCCATATGTGTGCTATAAGCATTCTGAATATGGCGCTCCTATGCTTAAGACAACAGAGTTTTCCCTGAAGGAAACAATGAAGTAAGAGGATCTCTTTTTTCCCTTTGGGATGCTCTGCTCTGACGGTTAACTTGCCAGACCAGATTTTCTGCTTTCAAGTTCATTCAACGCCCACGCTGAGCCGCAACTTCTGAAGTGCACATGTGGCCACTTTCACACACATGCTCATGTCCTTTAAGAGCATATGTGTTTTATTCTCTCACATCTGTGGGCTGCATTTGTTTTCCGCAATAAAATAAGCCTCTTAGTCCCAAACAGCTGCAACCTGTTGCTGTAGCCTTTATTACATATCAGGCGGATGTAAGAGGAGCTCCTGCTGGGCTGTGTCATAGATGTCTACGTATTCCCAGGGTACAAGGCCGAATGTGACATCTCTACTGGTGGCCAGACAGCAGTGTGTGATGTGTGTGATCAGGGTGGGACTGTGGAGAATCGATGATTTGCCTATGGAGAGGAGCCTCTTCTGATTTATACATCCTCTTCAAGACACCTGTCATATGTAAAAGGCAATCTTATTGTCGTTCCTTATTTAGATTCAAGATTCAAGGCTTTTATTGTCATTCGTACATAGTTTAGTTATGTCGATGAAAATCTTAGGTCCCAGGCACCTCCAACAGTGCAACACAATAAAACAGATAAAATAGTGCAAGTAAAATAGAATAGAAGTAGTAGCCCGTGTTGTAAGCAAAACATTTAACCCTGTTAATATTTGTATCCCAAGAGTGAGTTCCTATGTGTTATGCACATAAACTGCATCCCCTCAGAACAATGGCTCAGCCATGTAAACATTGATGAGCAAGTCTTGTCTTCATGATGAGAAACACTACCAGTTATACCTGTCGCTCCAGCATATCTTGCTCATAGTCTAACAACTGGGTAGAACGCATGCGAATCTGAAGTTTGAAGGAATGAGCGTGTTAATAACTTCAATTTATCTTAACACGCCTTCAATTGAGCAACACATGAAGTGTCCCACCCGCTCCAGGACACCCTGTCCTCACTGTGCAGCTCCTTCAGCGACAGGCTGCTGCACCCCCGCTGTCTCACGGAGAGATACCGCAGGGGTCAGACTATACAACCAGCACAACCCCTAGAAGACCCCCCCCCCCCCCCCCACACACACAACAACACAGACTATAACACCCCTTGCTGTTAAATACCAACCAACTACGTGCAATATGTGCAAAATATATATGTCGTTAATAAATGTGTAATATATACCTGGCTGCTAAAATCCTTAGAACTGTTACAAGATGTGTATTTTGTAAATTGTGTAACTTGCTGCTGTTAAATACTCATCCAACTATGTGCAATATGTGCTATATGTGCAATATATATATATGCCGTTAATAACTGTGTAATATACACCTGGCTGCTAAATCCTAAGAACTGTTACAGGATGTGTATTTTGAAATTATGTAACTTTTTTTATTTTTTATTATATCATAAATTAGTACTTTAATGCATGTAACATATGTAACATTAAGCTGTCTGTGGCTCTTTTTCTGCAGTAATATGTAAATGTCCCCTCTGTGGGACTAATAAAGGTATTCTGATTCTGATTCTGGAAAGAGGGAGGATACACTTTCACAACGGACTGACCTAGCTGTCACTGTGATGAATCTCTTACCTCTGCACTTTGAAGGAGAAAAAAACACACAGACACATTGAGCAACATTTCCACCGTGTTAACGGCTTGTGTTCCAGGCCTGGTTTGTATAGCATGTATACTTTGCATGTTTACATAGTGGGGCAGAGGAGGAAATGGACCATGAGCACACTACACTGGTTTGTGATTCTAAGAACATGGTTGAACTGGCAGCCTATCTCTGACCTACGTGTGAGTGAATATAGGACATATAATATAGGTTTACCTTAGGATAACATCATGATCTCCTGTGTGAGAATGAGCTGTATCATTTCCCATAAGAAAGGCATGCTCAGCAGTGGTGGAAAGTAACTAAGTAAATGTATTATTATTAAGTACTGTACTCAATTACTTCCATTTTTTGTTACTCTGTTCTTCTACTTCACCACATTTCAGAAATATGAGATAAAGATAAGATAAAGTTTCTCTACTTTTACCCAAGTAACATTTTTTTAAATCTGGATATTTTACTTTGCATTTTTATAATCTAATATTTCGCTGTTTCAGAGAGGAGAAGTGGACTCACTGTCATCCCTTTTCTTACTCAACACCCCACACACACCCTTCCCCTTATTCTATTTTTCAAGAAGCTGACGGTCAAGGAAGATGAGGGAAACACAAGCAGGAAAGAGACGCAGATACACTCATCTCCTCCTTGTCAGGGGACACACACACACACAAATTCTTGCAGGAAATGTTCTCTGGTCGCAGTCCTCCATCGCTCTGCCTACTGACCCACATTCCAGCCTGGTTGTGTCCCGGGAACTCAGCCGAGGCTGTGGCTGCTACTGTCCATTTGAACCTAATGAGGCTACCCCTACATGAATATGCTGGCATGCAAGATATCACATTCTCTGACTCCCTGTTTTTCTCTGTCTCTCTGTCTGTCTTCTTCTCTCTGCACACTTTCTTCCCTGACAGTTCCCCTCAGACACAGTCAGCTGGTTCCTGCCCCCCCCCCCCCCCCCCCCCCCCGTCTGGTACTTATCTCCACCATTTGCTGATCTAGGTCAGTCTTCTGAGCTCAGTTTCTCTCTATCTCTCTCTCTCTCTCTCTCTGTTGCTCACCCTCCCCATCCTAAAGCCAATGTTACATAAC